GTTTGATGTAACTTTATCTTATACTATTAATGTAGAAATGTTCTACTTACTAGCATTATAGTCAGCATCACCATCAACATTATTTAAAAGTGGATCCATCCTGTCACCGAGTAGACCTATAACTTTTTGTGTAACATTTGATAGTGTTGACTGATTTGTACCACCCCCAGTTTTATAATGCTGCACCTAAATTAAATATATAATTATGAAAACACTAACATAGTAACATAGTGTGCTAAGTAATTTCTCTAAACCATTATATCATGCTAATTAAATTGGGTGATTATACTAATGAACTGTACAAATTTAAATTGATGCAATGTTGTAATGATGATTTCAGCAAGAAAGATTCAAATGTTTAACAAATAGGCAGGGGAGTATTACCTTTCAACTTGTATTATAATTTCACAACTAAAGACAAATTTATCAAATATTATTATTAATAGTAATTTTAAATAGTAAGTACTACATAATATACTACTGATATAAATAGGTACTGTAACGATTCTAACAATTCATAAAATTATACAGACCTTGTACTGACTTTTTTCTTTTCTGGCTTCCCTTTTTTGCGTATCATACATATGTTTTATTTGGCCTATATTTCTAACACCAGACGTTTGAATTGCATTGTAGGCATTAACAATTTCTGACCATGCCTCATTTTTTTATTATTCCACACAGCATCAGTCTATAAACATTATTTTAAATTAATGCAGAAATAGAATTGAAAAAAAATGTTATTAGGTAGGTACCTAGGTAGTAAATATTTATATTTTCAATATTTTTATGTACAATATGTTAATAAGTACTTTATTATAACAAACAAACTTATTCAGTGAATTTAAATAAAAAAATTTACTTACTTTAACATTTTCAATAATTGATTTATATGGCAAAATAAGATCAATCAAATACTCTTTTTCACGTTCCGTAAAATTTTTACCCCGCTGTCTCTTCTTAACTTCACACATGCTGTCTTCCATTTTTTAGTTTTATAGGTACCTACACCTTTCAACAAATGTACAAACGAAACTTTCGTTACGAAAGTACAAAACACATCAATCGGCACTCACACTTCACAGGACATAAAGACCATAAGTCCATAACAATTCGTAATTCGTATTGACTTAATATTTACCAATTGGCAATTACCATAATATTATCATTATATTATATATATGAGTATATTTTCAATTTGTACCACGATTAAATATAAATATATATATTTATAATCTAGTTAAGCGGCGCTCAAGCAAATTTTTCAATTTTTTTTTTCGGTAACCCATGTGTTGCGACCAGTTAGGATGTATATCTTTAATATCTATGATGCAAAAATTAACTGCCGGAAATTATTAGTTTTTATGGTAAAGCTTTACGAAGTTCACGATTTTCGGTGTTTTAAGTGCTTGTAAAAATTTTGTTTTTTTAAAAAGAAAATCACCATCATTATTTATTTTTGTATAGGTACATAAAATATAAAAAATATTATATTATACATAGACTTCAGGGCCCCGCATACATTGAATGTGTCCGGGGTCCCAAGAATCCTAATTGCGGCACTGGTAGGTACCATCTATTAACTATTAAGTAGATATTACATGTATTTTTACTGTTATTAATTATTTTTATATTTTGTATTATTCGAAAGTAGAAAGTTATTAGTTATGAAAAATCGATTTTCTTTTATAAATAGTATGTTTATTAATAATTATTATTGTTTCTTAATAATTAATAAAAGAACTCTTTTATAGTGAAAAAAATGTATACGTATCTATATACCTATATAATCGCACTCTATTGCGTGTTTAAATGTCACGTTTCCTATACATATAATATAATAGGTACTGTTTCATCTGGTATCCACTGTATGTACCTATCTTGTTTGATCGACGTGTGATATGTGTCGCCGGTGTAACGACTCAAGCAATAATAATAGTAATTATTATTTTTACTATGTACAATCTTCTAAAACCTAACCTCGTTTGGAACTGTCAAACACTCAAACCGACGACGACGTTTGTGTGTCCACAACTCCGCCACTACAAAATAAAACACAAAGTAATATAATATCAGTATTTAATAGTTTAGGTACCTAAGTACCAATATATTTATTCGATCAGTGCATGAAGAATATACCTAACCACCAAAATATTCGGGACCCGGTTTATTAGAAAATTCATCGTAACTTTGTCAAAAGCTGAAAATGTATTTTTTTATTCTGTAAAATAAAACACGGTGGTGGTATCTTGTATAAAATATAGTTAAGTACCTACCTATTATTTTATATCGTTCAAATTTCCTTATGCTTATGGTCGTATATTTATCAGTATTTAACCAAAGCGTACATCAATAATATTCACATAGGTACCTACCTAAATTATAAACGTCCGAGATGATTATTATTTCAAATTTCAATAGATCAATATATTATATAATTTAGTACGGACGTATTGACTATTACATAGTAACTACATACCAACGTAAGGACTTGTTGCTTGATGGTGTTAAATATTTTTCGGAAGTGGCCCGCCTTAAATTTGGCACACTTAAAATAAATTGAAATGGTGTCCGTTAGTAAATAACATAATTTTAAGATTATCTTTGGACGAATAATTTATAAATATCATCCATAATATAATTAGGTAGGTATACAAATATATAGTACCATTAGTACCTACCTGTTATATACAGATGTACTATATAGGTACCTACATATTCTATTAATTACTAATTATTACTATACAGACATATACCTGAATATTACTTTTAGTCATTAGTACCTAATTCATATTCTAATACCATGGATGATTGTGCACTGTGCAGGAGGCAACAAGATTTTTTTCCTACTAAGTTTAGTATGATTTTGTTATGCGATTGATAACTCATTATTAAACTATTCGATGGTCATTACTATACGACTTGTTCGATATTAATATATTATAATTTATAATGACGGCTTTTATTCTTAATTATTTATTGCTCACTTCAAGTACCTATACAATATTCACAAATATTTGGCATCATCAACGTTATAGCATCATATATAAATAAACGGACGACAGATTCACGATACCAGAAGAAACAAGCAGCATTCAAGCCAGAGACACCCAAATTCAAATACATGCTCCAGTCATAACAACCCATTTTTATTTTAATAAAACTACAATTTAAAATAACCACAACCGAAACACATCGTAACATTCAAATAAATCAGACACCTGAGTTAATTGTTTTGGTCAGCCCAGGTAACACCCCTAAAAAATTGTGATCTTTTTTCTTATTCACAAATAGCAATTGTTAAACAAAAACTCTTATCGGGTGAAAAAGTGCAGAAGGAGTATTTATCTACGAGTGTGTCTAATGTTTTTGATTACAATATGATAAAAGTATAAAAAAGTTTGTAAAGAAATGTTGATTTAGAGTGTCTAGTCATTGGTTATCTCACTTATCGGGGTCAGATGTTAATCAGGAGTAAAAGTTTAAAAAAAAAAAAAACCCGAAAAAAACCATTATAATATTAAAGACCCAAATTTTATTGTTCGACTTTCAAACATTTGAAAAATTCTAAGACTGGAATAAAAAAATTTCGGCTTTTACTCATTGGACTAATAAGTTTAAAAAAAAGTGTAAGCTCGGTCTATGTTGTAAATTTTACAGATGTCTTTATTAAAGTAAGTCGATATAATTTGACAGGTATATAATACGTAGGTATCTATATATACGTGTCATTCCCAAAAAAAAAGACGTCATACAATTTAAATGTTAAATATAATTATATAGGTTGATAATATTAAAATATTAAATCTATGTTACTTACCTGTAATTTATTTTGTTCTGAAGACCACGAGTTATTGTTGTACCTACTTGATCGATCACATATTTTAATAGCGTAAGATTAAAAATTAGTATAATAATTAGATGCTAATATGTGATGCTCTGCGCAGAGCTAGGAGAAAATATTTACCTATTTAAGTGCCATAAAATAATTAATCCCCATTAATGATACATCGTGTCTGCGATTCAATCTGTGATCGATTTAAGATATGAAAATATATACATTTTTTATAAAATGTGGATAAAATGCTTAACACAATTTGTTTATTAAGTTATGATATATCTTGTCTTAAATGTTTAAACCTTAAGTATCAAAATAAAATATTCAAGAATTAAATTTTTTTGGAATATAACATCAAAATGCATATAAAAGAAAACAATAGCGATGTATTTATGATATTTTTTAATTGCCACAAGAACCATTTTTTAAGGAACTTTGTATTGAGTTTTCAAATTTTTTGACTTTCAACAAAAACAAATCAAAATAAAGGGGAATAATTAAAATATTTATAAATAGACAAAATGTTTGCCTATATAAAATACATTTGGCAAAAACTGCAAGTACCTATCTATGGTTATTTTTTATTGAACACTACAAAATAATACATTTTGACCCCCTAAGTTCTACCTTAATCCAAATTGCTATCAAAACAACCCTCAATATTAAAAATATTTTTCTGTTATAAAACCTGTCTTCACAAACAAACAAAAAAACCTGTATAACTAACAATTTTTACTTTATCTATAGATTCAGAACATAAAATTATTGTCCAACAATGAATAATTGTAGTTATAATAATCATTGATATCATTTTTCTTAAAATATACTATTTTTTTTTTTTTTACTTTTAGCAGTAAACTAAATAGTTGTAACTTTGTAATCATCAAATTTCTGTAATAAAATAATGGAAACAGAAGACTGAACTGTTCAAAATAATCTTTTTCTCTTCGTTTTTGTAACAGTTGTTTTTATTTACAAAACATAAATGTACAAAGGTAACTATAATTTATCATAGGGAACACAAAAATACTTACAAAAAAATACTTAAAATTAAGCTTTTAAAAATTATAATATTATATGAGTCGATTGAGATTTATATGAAATAAAGGTTCATATTATTAGTAAAAGTCAATATTTTTATGTTGAGGAATGTAGATTTCAATTACATACATTCATTTCCATCTATTCGTTGTCTTAACATTATAATGGCATTGGCTATTTTTAATGCTTGACCTAGTGGAACTTTTAATATTTTCATTATTTCATCTTGTTTTAACATTAAAAACGCGTCACCATCAATTCCCTATACAAATAGTCACTTATTAAAGAATGTATAAATAACAATAAAAATAATAATTAGGGTTCGGATTTGTAGGCAAATGCCTTTCTTTTATTAATCATAATAGAAAAATAATTTTTATACAAAAATGTGTTTCATTTAATTTCTTAGAGGATGGATCTTTTTTTGCCTTTTTACTTATAAATGCCTTTTTTTTTACTTTTTGTACTTATAAATGCCTATTTTGTGTTTAATTTTTCAGTTGATTTTATAATTGTATACACAGCTTGCGTATTATCGTTACAAATGGGTTTTATTATTCGCAATAGTAGCAATCTTAATTTAGATAATTATTTAAGTATGAAATACGCCCCGAAAACTTCAGTGGACGTAGAAAGATTGTTTTCGATGTACAAAAATATTTTAACCCCTAACCGTAGCCGTTTTTCTGAAGACAGCTTATCAAAATACATGGTAGTAAATTTTTTTTTTAATACCAACTAGTTTATTTTGCATTAAATTAACTGGTATAACTCAAGTAAGTTAATATTTAAAATTGTTTTTAACTAATTCTTAGGACAAACCTGGTTAAAGAAAAAGGTAGGTACCTAATCTATTTATACAAAATAGCATAAACTTAATGTAGTTTAGTATTCATGCTCATTTTTAATTTGTATTTTTCTCAAAATGTGTGCATTTAAAAGTGTTTAAAAAATGTTCACTATTTTATTTTGTAGTATATTTATGAATTGCCTTTTTATATAAATTAAATGCCATTTTTTACATTTTAAATGCTTTTTTTATTGATTATATTGCCTTCAAATCCGAACCCTAATAATAATAAATCCATACTTGATCAATGAAACGATCAGATATACTGATTTCTTCGTTGTTTTTTTTTGAGTTATAACATTCTACCACTTTTTGAACGTATGATGCCACTTCTTGAATGGACCATTCTCTCGTATCAGTAGTATTGAATAATGGTATACCTATTTGTGGGTTATGTCCGGTCCAATAACTGGAGTATGTTTCCATTGACGCTGAGCCCAAATTATATCCCACAAGACTCAAACCAAGTGCTTTTTGCAATTTTTCGTTATTGTTACTTGGAATGGTATCATTGAAAAGGGTGTTCTTAATAACAGTATCACATTCTGGTTCAATATCGTTTGCATCCAACAGCAAATTTAATCTAAAGCATTTTTTGATTTTCACAATTATTTTTAATTAAATCAATTATAAATAAAGTAATGACACTTATAAGTATGTAAGTTGTACTACCTTTTTTCATTTATTTTTTCCTTGATTTTTGCCAAATTCATATGTTCTGTATTTATGCTGGTGTTTTCCTTATTTTTATTATTCTGATGTATATCACTTTTAATTTTTGAACTACATCACATTAATTCAATTCAATTGGAAATCAATCAATCAGAAAACATTTAAAAATATAATTTAATACTACCTTGGCAATGTTGTGTTAATTATAACATTATGAGTTTTCAATCGATCAGGAATTTTTGCCAATCCAGCAACAGCTGTTTTCCATGAATCTATTTCATATGGACAATCCATTATTTCAACATGATCAATTTTCAAGCTATTTGATGAATTGCCATAACCTTTACAACCACGAATACTGCAGCTCCAAAGTGTATTAGGTGCTTAAATTTACAAAAAATAAAATAACAATCATTAGAATGTTAATACTAAAAATTACATAGAACCAGGATCGGATTGGTTTGGCGAACTACCGAGAAAATCTCGGTGGGCCGCTTAGTTTGAGCCGGTTGTGAGTGAAAAAAAATGCATGTTTAAAATACGATTGGCCACCTATAAGCTTGTAATAATTAGACGTAATTTTGGGCATAGGCGCACATTGGGGGTGAATTCAGGGGATGCTGGAATAATGTATGCTACACAAAACCGAAGGGGGCTTCGCCCCCACACCGTCCTAAATCCTAATACTATAATAAATTACATTGCAATTATTTTAAATTTGTATACAATTTGTAAATAGCAATGAACCAAGTGGTTATAACCTTTCATTGATATAATTACGATTTTTTATAATATGATTGCTGCTTATTGTTTAATATTTTGAAGACAACTGAAACACTGAAACGTGCATTTATGCAATACTGTTTTAATCGCAAATTCGTGAACTGTTGTCTATTTGTAATGGAAAAAAAATCCGAACCACAATAATTTATTAATGATTGGTGAAACACTGAAATAAATTTCATAGGGAACTGGGGGTGCTAGTTTAAACCTCGGGGGTGCTAAGCACCCCTCTATGTGCGCCTATAATTTTGGGCCACTGAATATGTAAATGGGCCGCTTATAGAAGTGAAAATCTCGGTGGGTCAATACATACCAATCCGGCCCTGCATAGAACTATGAGTTGAATACAGCATAAATGGGCAAACTAAACATTTCAAAGGATCAATGTTTTCACCATTTGTTTACTCTATAGTTGATTAAACATAATACACAAGAGTTTTGACAAAATTCTTTAGTTTAACTATATTTTTTTATATAATCAGTAAATTTATACCTGGAGGCAGTTCAATTGGATGGTTAGTTTTTGACGACCATCCAACAGGATGAATATCTGGACTATCGTCTTCAACCCAGTATGCATAATCATTATCAAATCCATCATAAACAATTTTTAGTTCATCTCCTCTAACATCTACTACCTTAGCAATTCTTAGCAGTCTTGGAACAACAAGATCAACAACCTCAATTATCATTTGATTAGAAAAATCCCGTAAAGGTCTACGAACAAATGCCTCTTCAGGAACAGGTTCACTATTTGTCTCTGCTAAGTATTCAGTCCAATTAAAAGGTTTTCTTCCTTTCATATCTAAAGAAATAATAATATTTTAGTATGCATTTAATAATGTTACAAATAACGAATTACCATTATAACCACTAGGTGGAGACAAAGTTCGACCATTATTATCACACCACCTTACTGGATGTATATTGGTTGATGTAATATCCACCCAATAATCAAAATCATCTGTCCATCCATCAAAATGAACACGAATACGATTACCCAAGATATCAGCAACAGTGGCAACACAAATTAACTGTTTTGAAAGTGTACGGGTTAATTTATCTAATGCTTCTAATTTACCTCCGATATGAAATTTGTGTTGATTTTTACAACTCTATGTATACAAAATAATATTTTATAAATATAATTTTAAGCTAACAAAATAATGACAATTACATTGTATTATTGTACATCAATAAGACTCTATGTTATCTTTAACATTATTGTAATGATACACATAGTCATTAGTCATACATACAATATAAGTCATATTATATAACAATATCTTAGAAAAATGATGACTTAAGAAAGTTTACAAAACTAGCAGCTAAAGCTGTTTCTATCTATTTCAACAATATTTCCAACAATATATTTATATGTAAAATATGTCCAAGTGACCACAAAAATAAGTAGATTTCAAACTGATGACAGAATAAATAAAAAATAATATGGGATATTAAGTAAGAAAAAGTCTAAGTCAGTTAATTTGTTTTTTAAATAACCAGTAATAAATTAAGGTTAAATTAGAATTTGTATTTTAATTACATTTTACGATTTGAAGTACAAATTTAACCTTGAGTGGTTAAATATCAGTTATCAGTTATCACTAATCTTTACGAATATAAAATAGTAATTGGCTATTGCTTACATTTAGGTTTTTAGTAGAGACAAAATTGCGTTTTGGAGCAGGTAAAGCTTGACATTCTCTAAGATAACCAATCCAATCAAATGCATTTAAATAATTGTTTGGTGGTTGTAGAATGCGCAAATTCATTTCACACCATCCTGGATGAAACAAATTCGGGCAATCTGCATTTACCCAAAAATCATAATCATTCTCAAAACCATCAAAATGTAATTTAATGCGGTATCCTAAAAAAATATAAACACACCAAACAATAAAAAATTCAATTAATTTAAGTCATTGCATAGGTTACAGGCATAGGCGCAAATATGGAATGGCTTAGGGGAAAGGGGTTAGTACCGTAGTTGATCGGTGTATTTTATGTTTTCAACAGCAACCAGTAAACACAATATTAGTTATTTTATTTTGTATACAATGTTAGTTTTTTTATGGATATTTAATTAATAGTTTCAATAACCCAATTGATAACTTAATTCAATAATAAATTAATGTGTAATAACTACATAATAACTTAAAAAGATTTAATCAGTATTTGTAAAGAGTACTTAATGTCTGAATTTAAAGTTATTAATATGTTATGAAAAAAAAAAAACATTAATTTGTAAGTAATGCAAAACCCCTAAAATTCATGGAAGAGTCAGTATTTTAAAATTATTTAATGTAGCAATAACTTAATTAATTAACTAAGCTACTTGTGAGAGGTAGTTTTCTACCATGTAAAAATTGGATGAAATTGAAAATGTTACAATAATAGATTAGAGTGACTTAACATTGAAAAGCTATAAATATTGGTAAATGATGAACTATTTTTTTCAAGTCCAACAGGAAATCACTTTTAATATTGTACATAAATAATAAAAAAACAATTTTAATTATAGAAATATTTCAAATCAAGTCAAGAGCTTTTTCCAATCATGTTATTTTTTTGTTAAATAATATCTCAATGAAATTTCTTATTTGCACCTATGGTACCAAATTCAATTTAATTAACAATTACCACAAACTTCGGATACACTCATTACACAGAATAAAGCTTCATGTTTAGGATCAATGCCTTCTAGTTTTTGTCCTACTACAAATAAGTTCTTTTCAGTTGGAAAAGGTCTATCAAACAGTTTTTTAGGAGCAGATCTAAATTGCAGCCCTGTCATATACTTTAATGTATCTTTATCTTCTATAAGAGGCTAAAACAAAATATAAACATACTGACTTAATCAAAAATTAAATTATTATGTATAAAAGTATACTTTTAGATCAAAATAATTGTCATCATCATCATCATCATCGTCATCATCTATTACTTCTGGAGAATTAATTGGCTGTAATGATTTTAGAGGAGGTTGACTTTCTTCTTTTGATGGTTTATCAAAGAAATGTGTTAACTGTTCATTCAAATCGTCATTTTCTTTAACCATGTCCTCTGGACAAGAAGTTTTTAACTTCTGTTTCCTCTTATTTATTCTATTTTCCAATTTTGTTAAAAGGTTTTTACGATCAACCACAGTTTTGTCGGATAGATTGATAGTTTCCTTGATAAAATGTTCTTCTTCAGCTACTGTTTTTTTTATATCTAAATTTTTACATGCCAAACTACAATATAAATCATCAATCAATTCAGGTTCATACACCAATGTATCACAATATTCATATTTACAAGAAATAAATTGATCAGATGTATCATCTGCAAATAAACATTAAAATATGTATTAAAAACTGTTATGCAATATACAGATTAAGCATATAATATATTTGTTACCTTCGTCGGAAGAATCACTAGCATCTAAATCAATAATTTCGTCAGATAATGATACTTTATGCTTATTTGAATGTTCTTCAACTATTTTTCTAATATTTAAATTCTAAAAAAAATTATTAATTGTGTTTAAAACAGAATTTTAACTTACTCAAAATAATCCCAACAAACAATACCTGTGATCTACTAGTTTCACTATTATTTACTTTTATTATTTCATCATCAGAGCTATTTGAATGATCTCCGCCATTTTTTAGCATTTTATTAGAGTTTGATTTTGTTTTAGATTTTGAAAAAAAGTTTGAAGATGATAACTGAATTGTTTTATTATCATTTTTAGTTATTTTACCTAAATTGAAACAAATAAAAAGTAGTTAATGGAAAAACAAAAAAGGATTTAAATAATATTTTATACCAACCATATCTAGTATGACTTAACGGTAGACTATCTGATTTCTTTAAAGATTTTGAGTTTGATGAGAGCTGAATAAACCTAGGCGAAGAACTCATTTTTTGGTGACAATTTTTATTTATTTTAACCTCACAGTTTTGAACAAAATTTTTTGAATTCTTTTCTATTGGATCTTTACTTGTAACAGTATGAGTAGGAAACTTTTTATTTCGACTCGCATTGCCAAGTTCAACAATTTTAGACATTTTACTCCAAGAAGACTTTACAGATGGTACATCTAGTGTTTTATGCTGAAATTGTCTAGTTTTCTTAATATTTGCTAATTGATATGAATTTCCTATATGAAAAATATCACTAACTTTATTTTCATTTGGAGTAAGATGAGTAGAAAAATTTTGTTTCGTAAAATTAGAGTTTTGTTTGCATACTTTTTCTAAATTTATAGGTACCTGTCCTTTATCTGGTACCATTTTATATTTTCCCTCAGGGAGTGGTTGCATTTGAGGTATGAATTCTTCTTTATTTCCTCCCCTTAATGCATCTTTTGAAGACATAACCATACATTGGTTTTTTTGTTCAGTTGGTCTAATTACAGTACTGGGTGCTTTTAATGTGGGTGATGAAGAAGAATTAGACTTCAACAATGGACTTCTTGAAGGTATTCCTTTGCTTATCATATAATTGATACCATTGTGTGGGACTAAATAAACTTCTGATTTTTTTTCATTTGAAGATGTGATTTTCAATTGTTGTTTTGGTCTCGAAAAACTTTTATTAAGACCTATTTCAGTATTAGCTGATGACTCTGGTTGTAAATGTGTAGTTGTAGTTTTCGGCCTATGAACTGTAGCAGTAGATGCTATTTTAAATTGGTTAGATTTTACTGAAGGATTGAATTTGACCAAAGAGGCATTATGTTTAAAAACTTTCTTTACATTTAAAGAATTATTTTCTTTTTGTCTTGTAAATAAATTTGTATTTTTAGTAGCACCAGATACAATATTTTTCTTTAATTGCACCAATGGCTCAAATATTTCTATATCAGAATCAGAGTCATCTAAATCATCACTCACAATTATTTCTTGTTCAGGTATTTCAATTGAAGTTTCCTTATTCAATTCATCTCTTACATCTATATTTCCACTACAACTGATGTCACTCAATGAATCATCATCTTCAATCACCATTAGTGATTCATTATGCGAAGTGTATTGAGGTAAGTTGCACTGTAAATTAGTTTCACCTGTATCATCATAACCACTACACAGCAATGTATCACAATCTTCAGATGAATCTACATCCATTATGGTTTCTATATTTTCATCAGATTCTTCCATGTTTTCTTCAGTAAAGTTATCATATAAACCCTGAAAAATGTCTTCAATTACTAAAAAAATTTCAATATACATATATTTTATTATTCTACAGTAGTGTTATTGAGAAAATATTTAAGGTTCAAAAAACACAACAATCCATAAATTATATCAGAACTATAACACTTCCAAAAACTTAAGTATAAAATTGATAAAATAATATTTCAAAAATGGTTTAATAATGTAATTTTTAAAAAATAGTAACATTTTAGGTGTTCAGTTTTAATTTGAGTTATCAACATTATTCCCAACTTTAATTTGGTTTCCTAAGTTTCCATTATGCAATATACTTTATATACCAAATTAATTTACTTACTGAAAGAATTGCAACTAAATTAGAAAAATATCTAAACTCTACATAATATTATTTTTTAACTAGCAGGCATATCCCAAGTATTTGACATTTTAACACATAAGAGTAAACTTAAGATATGTGCTTATCAATTACATTCTCTAATCCAATACAATTAAATATTAAGTATACAGTAAAAATAAATTCATATTTTCCAATAATGAATGTTTTTAACAATGCATATTGATATTTATCCCTATTTAAGGTATGAGAAGCACAAATAATATAATATTAAATTGTAATATTAACATTCATTAAGTTTATAAGGAAAAAATAAATTGTTAAATTATATTATACCAAACAATTACAAAATATGAAAAATTAAGAAAGTATGAATGCTTTTATTTATTTGTTTTATCTGTAATACCGTATTATAAAAGATATTAATATTATTTATTATTAATTAGTGTATATTGATATATTATACTTCGACTTACATGTAAACATCATTATTCATTAAAAAGTCTCCATTAACTTCAAACACGTTAAAAATAAATATTTTTAAAATACATTGTATTTTTTTTTCAAATTCGCTCCATAAAATAATTATGTAAATAAGCAAGTAGAGGAGATTAAAAGTGAATGTATTATGTTGTATTCAATAATGTTTATTTTCAAATTTCCATTTCAAATATAATGTCCTGGAGTCTACTAATAACTAACTAATAAGTAATAACTAATAAAGTCACTGGACAATTCTATAGGTATATACATTAACCATAGATGAAGACGAGTTAAATGATAAAAAAGTGTAATTTATTGGTTGTGGTAACACGAGTGGAGCAGAGTAGAACGAAATGTCATGGAGTAAAGAACAACAACCAAAACACGAACCAATATTTTTCGAACTGAGTGAACTGAGGCGCCACAACGGAATGAAGAATGCCAATAACAGGTAACTGAATGGCTGCGAAAAGAAACACGAGTTATGAATTACGATTTACTACTGCGGACTGACTAGACTAAACCGGTTTAAAACTATCCCACATTATCCCGCACAGGGATAGTGTACCATGTAAATGATATGGTCCAAACACTCCAAACATCCCGGTGCATTATTTTTCACACTGGTTTAGTCTAGCAAATTTCTACATACAGATTATACAAACAAATGTAAAATGTTCTTATAAGTATTAAGTATCGATGATAATATATATATATATTATTCACACATGAGTGTCTGATTGTACTCATTGTAGGTTAACCGCATGACAAAATTAATTAATTTATTTATTTATTATCATAGTTAACTTATTTAAAAACTTAAAAACAGAATTTCTATTTTCAATCATAATATTCATACACCATTGTACTCGTGTGAGCATTGGTCCTTGTGGGTGAAGACGTGAAATAAAAATCGATTTTTGCCTATACCCCACTGGGAGAGGGGATGGAAATACAGATATTATTATTTTATTATTATAATAGGTACGCCTTGTAGAAACTAAAAACAAACGTTACCTACCAAACGCAAAACTGTAAATAAGAGAAATTTGAAGTAATTTTTTGAGTAATATTGTTAGCACTGGTCAGTGCGGTCAGCTTCGACATTGTTTGGGCATTGGGCTTATCGAGCCATCGTAGAAAATCGAAAATGTTTAAACATGTTAAAAATTGTTAACATGTTAATGTTCAAATGTCAATCACTGAATTATGATTTCGATTTTCTGCAAAGGGGCAAGTCCCCTAACACCGTGAATCGAGATTGTAATTTGTCAATCTTGATCTTCCTATAAAATCAACCATATTTGAAATTCATCTATCAAATATTCAGATTTTAAATCTTTATCGGTCTTTACTGCTTTAGGCAGGGACCACTGTCCACTTGGCACTATAGGTTCGTTCGATCTCGGGAGTTAGAGGTCAGGGCTCAGCCAGTAACAACTTTCAAGTTACAACCTCTGGCCTACAGCCAACTAAAACAAAAAAATAGGCACTAAATTCTTAATAATTTTGACCATAAAAAGGCACCAGCCCAAATCAAAATATTTCTAACAAAACGCACGTAAACAATATATGCTTAATGCGTATACATATAGGTATGTCGACATATCGTTATTTATATTATATATCGTGGTAATTTTTAATTTATTAAAAGTACACCAGCTACAGAGTGAAAAAAAGTTTCTTGTAAAATTGTACATAATTTAGAGAAGTGGGTAATTAATTTGTTAACATATAGTATTACCATTGAATCTGCTAATGTTATTCTGTGTATAAATTGTGTATAAAATAAAATAATTTATACTTTAAAAGTTTCAATTACCTACCAATGAATAATATTTTAAAATAACTAAAATTGTTATTCTTCTTTTCGATATCTAGTTTCGTTGAAATTTGAACTTATAACATCTGTTACAAAAACAGTTTATATATTTTTTGATTACATTAGGTATGATAAAACTTATGAGAAATCTTATTTTAAATTTTCAATCCTTAGCTATAAAAATTGAATATTTTATAATTTTTTAGCTAGGTACAACATATTATGCAAGTTTTCGTGGTTTTGATGTAATTTGTCAGAATTTAAACTTGAAATGCTTCGTAAATATCCAGACTGACAAACCGTCTCCGCTCAGAATCGTTTTTCGTATACAATGATATTATATCTATGAATTGAAGTTTAACTCACCAGTAACCTACTGTACAGCAGAGCGACATGCACTTACCAGCTTTTTTTTTTTCTTGAATACAAAATGTCCACCTGAAAAAGGGCTTCGGTTTCCACATATAGTATCTTATCTTTTAGAAAATTGAATCAAGATGGTACTTACTTTAGGGAGGTCATTTTTCGATTTTCTCAATAATTATTTATTAATGCCACCTGAGAAACCACAGAAAATTACGAAAAACCGCTAAAAACAGTATTTTAATTTCAAACGCTTTGTTAAACAATATCACCATAGAAACGAATAAAAATAACGACTTAAGCTATTTTTTTTGTAATTTATAATATTAATTCAATTTACAAGCTATAATAAATAATAACAATATAAAATATCCAGACTGACAATTGACAAACCGTCTCCGCTCATAATCGTTTTTCGTATACAATGATATATCATTGTCCATTGCATTCTAAACTGAACCTACAGAGCGACATCCACTAACCCGTTTTTTAAAATTTTTATTCAAATAAATATATTTTTGTACGGATTTCCACCAAGAACTTATGAGGAACCAACCTTGCAATTAATTTTTAAGTTTTTTGAAAGAGCCATAATTTTTTTTAAAAACTAATAAAAATCGAAATTATCCGTTGTCTATGAATCGCTCAGTTTTTTTGAAAATTGTATGGTGTATAGAAACTGATAATATAAACATTCAGTGAAAACTCATAATGTGTCAATGGTTATACCAATCTTTAGGATTAGGAGTTACTAAAAATTAAAATCTAATTGTCGAAAACTGGTTTTACGTAAAAACCTTAGTTTTCCCTTAATTTTTTTTTGTTTTCCCGGCGATTTAGATATTATTTGAATATTTTACTTTTGACCTCCAAAGTACTAACTAAATTAATTTTCCTACCAGAAAAGATGCTATAGTAGAAAATCGAAAAGACTTGTCGCCTCAAAAGGTAAACACACACACATTTATTTTTGAGCTCATTCTTGAAATACCAGCAATAAAATTATGACTATACCTAATACCATTGATTATACACGCATTACATATATTATAATCAATGCTAATACCTAATACTAATACCTGAGTACCTGACTATTAAAAGAAATTGTATTTTTAATTTTAATTTTATAATACTATATTATACATACCTACTCATAATGATCTAATTTTTAGAAAATTATTTATACCTATACTTACTTAATTATGGTTTTTTATAATTTTAATTATTAAAAATAGTAATAATTCAAGGAACATGTAAAAAATTTTAATTTATTAGTTAATTAGTTATAATTATTTAATATATTGTATTTTAGTATAACTAAACTCTATAATAAATAATATAATCGAATGTGTCGTTAACTCCCGGTTGTTACTGAAAATAGTTCTTATTCAACGAACATACAGAAGTATATATAACACTTGTTAAGTTTTAACTTCACAGACTTATTATTTTACAAAGAAAATCCTCTTTTCCTTGTGTTTCACATACAATATAAAGGAAAAACAAGCCACCGGCGAATGGTGTCGCTAGTTCGCTACCAATTGCGGTGCTTACTGCTTAGTGCTATCAAACTGCCATCGAAATTGGCACCCGGAATATTTAGAAGTGGTATCACCTTATCTTCTCCACATCTTGGGCGAATTGAACAAAAACCACAGTTGTATATATAATATCTGTTACAAAAACAACTTCCGAAAACCATGCAGGTGTACCACCAGCCGTTGTCGATTACCGAAAGAAACTACCCGCTAACAACACTTCAGAAAAGAAGTATAGAATTAGATTTTTGGTACATTTTGTCATCAATTTGCTGCATGCCTGCATCGCATAACGGACCGCTACCACGGTTAAAGATAGCGGAGAAATTCGGAACGTCCGGTTGCTAAACGGTTGCTGTAAACGTTTGCAAACATTGTAAAATTACCTAACCTAATCCAGCGTTTGGTCTGTTTCGTTCTAGTAACCATAACCGTGGTTGTCTTTGTTTGTACTTTTGCCGATCGTTATCACTATTACTATCACGACTTATCACGATTTATGTCATACACCACGACCGCGGTTTAACAAAATACCAAGCGCTCACGAATTTCTACCTCTTCAACGTTTCAAACGTCGGCGTTTGTTCTGCAAAACGTTTGCCGCTCCAGAATTTCCTCTATATAAATCGAAGTATATATGGTAAGTAGCGACTTTTCGGTGACCAACCTGTGTGATATACTGTGACAGTAAAATTCTTCAGTGTATTGGGCAATGGACATGATTGCTGATTGGCCGTAGACCACTCGACCGTTTCGACGACATATCATCGATCAGCTGCATACTGGTGCACTGGTGCGCAGACTGTTTGGCCTGAATGACTTGTGCCGTCTTGTAATCTTGTCTCATACTGAGAATACTGAGTACACTGACGTACAACTGTGTAGATTTTGTAGATGTATCATAATAGTACACTACTTTGAATCTTTTATGTATTTACTTTTTACAATTATCTTGCCTACGTTAAATGCGTCTATCGATTTTTCTCCGTAGCATTCCGTTTCGATTTTAAAAAAACGATATTACCATCATCATTAATTGACGACGCTGAAATATATCAATAGAATAATATGTAACAAAAACAACAACAACAGCTATTACTGACGCTAACGATAACGCTTCGCCGTCATACAGACTCGCCACCACGGTATAAATACAAAAGGTAGTACAATATCTCATTATTAATAGTTTTAATATGATATTGCGATTAGTAATAATAGTAATTAGTAAATAGTTATGTTACATCGTCTTGTCCCGGCGTTTTGTGTTGTTGCGTAATTTTTATCATTTCGTTTACGCGTCTTGTGAGATTTCGAGACGTCGTCGACGATTGTTGGAACGCGAAAACCTGAACTGCGATTGATAGGTACGTGTGGGCATTGTAGAATTATGTAGGTAGATACTTATATGATATTTTTTAAAAATGGTCTACCTATGCGGTGTTCCATTCGCATAGCGAAAATAGACCTGTTTAGTGTACCTGTTGTCGACTGTTTTCTCAAATCGGTGTTGTACTTACAACGAAATAGTTAACCTAGTACACATAAAACATATTATCTTTATACGTACGTGGGTTCAGACTGTAAATCATGTAAGAAAATCTACTAATCTAAATATACATAATATTATGCAGTATAATAAATGTAGGTATAAAATTAGTACCTACCTTGTTAATTATTTATTATGCTTTTAAATATCAAATTTATTTTTATTGACTTGTAATACCTAACTAAATTGAAAATAATTAATAATAAATTGCCTTGTTTTGCACCATTTTGACATCAATCAATTTTGTAATTTCACTACTTAGTGTTAACAAAGTTACATGGATTTGTTTTTTGTTTGTAGTTGATTACAATATTGGCTGTTTAACAATTAATAAAGATGGGTCAATTTATTAGTACAAATCGCACTGTCCACAGCAATGACGAGCTTATAAATACATTAATTAAGAGAGAGTATATACACACAATTAATGTGGAAAAAGTGTTCAGAAGTGTTGACCGAGGATTATATTATACCAATGATAATAGACTAAACGCCTATAGAGACAGCGCTTGGCAATCGGGAGATGTTCATTTGTCTGCACCAAGTGTTTATGCTACCGTTTTAGAATGTTTGGATCTCCACAAGGGTCATAAGTTTTTAAACATTGGTTCTGGAATAGGGTATTTTAGTACCCTAGCTGGTCTTTTATTGGGTAAGCTTTATCTAAATATTTATTCATTGTACTACCACCCATTTATACTTTTCAGTGTTTAAATTGATTGTCAACATTTTGCCTTATTTTTTTTATAGGTGTTAATGGTGTTAATCATGGCATTGAAATTCATAGTTCTTCAATAGAAATTGCATATCAAAAGTTGGAAGAATTTAAAAAAAATTCTGCAGCTATCGATTATTTTGAATTTTGTGAACCTGTATTCATTGAAGGTATAATACTTTATTCACAATAATTATTAATTAAATAAGTACTTATAAATAATTAGAATCTTGTGAAAAAGGTCTGATCAAATGTTTAAAAAATAGGATATAACCTATAAGTCTCTTGAAGATAATAGTATTTAACATTCAACATAATCCATTTTATAAAATAACTTCCAATAAATTTAAAAAGCCTGGGTAGTTGTTCTGCTGTATAAGTAGTTTTTGTGTCTTCCTTTTCGTTTAACAGGTCAGTGTGATATAAATGTGATAAGTTTGAATTAATTGTTCAGTGATAATTTATTTTATCTGTCAGTCAATATTTCCATCAATATTTTATTATACATGTATATTGATTGTTATACTCCACTGCTCTGTGCTACAAAACAATACAACTCGCTTCTACATAATATACGACGGAGCTTTGCTATCTCAAGACCAAATTGCCAACGCCATGTCGTGATCAGTTGACATAAAGTAAACGGACTGGTTATCATGGGATGGATTCACAAAGATCGACAAATTTAATGTGCCACCAGGTTGCGTTTTATTGTGGAACGGAGTATAATAGTTTATTTTTCTATTAGTAATACTATAGGTTGAACTAGTTTTTGCCCAGATATACTCTAATACATAACCTACATTACATACTAATTATTATTAGGTATAATAATATATCATACATGGTTTAAATATACAAGGTTATTGAACATAGCCCATATTGTTATCAAACAAAAATAAAATGGCAGCGTAAGGGTACGGTCCATATCATGCATATAATATCATAGCATAGCCAGTATACATCGTCCCCTTACGCTGACATTTTAATTCCTTAACGTGATAAAATGATAAAGTGGGGGTACTATTGCAATAACCTTGTATATTTAAGTCATGATATCATGTATTATTATTATTATTAACTTATAAGTCAATATTGACATACCTTAAAAGCTTAAAATTATACTTAATATTTTTTTAATGTTATTTATATAGGAAATGCATGTGATCTGCTATCAGTGGGTTACTATGATAGAGTCTATTGTGGAGCTGGAGTACCACCTGCGGAATCTTCATTTATGAAGGCCCTTATTAAAGTACTATTTTATTCAAAAGTAAATCTTAAATGATAAAATAAAATGTTCTTATCTATATTTAGATTGGTGGTGTATTAGTTATGCCATTGGAAGGTTTCCTCGTAAAAGTAATAAGGAAAGGTGAATACTCATGGAAAACAATTGAAGTTTTGGAAGTATCGTTCGCAGATCTTGTTGTGCCAGAAAAATGTAGTATGAAAGTTGCAACGTTTCGTAAGTTCAATTGTAAATTGAAAATAAATCAATTTTAAATTATTGTTGTTTTTTAGCTACTGTTGAACCAATAAGTTTACAAGAGCTATGCAGATCAAACATTCGAGCTTCCATACGAGATTGCTTGAATGAAAGTCATCCTGGCTTGCAAATGCGCACTAAATGTAAACCAACTAAAAGTTACGATCAAAAATTTTTTAATTCTGGAGATCCATTAAGTGAATTTGTTCGCATACAGTATGGTGCAAATGATAGAGGAATGGTTAGTTTACGGAACATTGTAGATACATTTGCTGGTTTGGACGAGGCAATATCAGATCTGGGTTCAACATCTGGGAATGAAGCCATTGATGAAGATAATGATGACGATAACAGCGGCGAAAATGATGACGATGATGATGAAGACGATGTTGATTATGTTGAAGAAAAAAATACAAGTGAACAATGTGATAAAAGTTTACCTAAGAAAACTGAATCAGAGACCAAAAGAAAATCATCCGAAGCTGGATGTTCTGAACAAAATAAGACATTGCCAGAAAAACCAGAAAACACAAAAAGAATGAGAATGAGCACATCAACTTCTACAGTCACAAATTTCTTAAACAGCCAATCTGCCAATAGCAGTAGTGATTTTTGGGAGACTATGTCTAGTGATTCATCCGAGCCTGATAATGATGAAGACGAAAACCTTGATGGTTCTGATAGCTGGGTGTCATCTGAGGAAAATGATCATAATGATGATGATGAATTTGGCGGAATTTATAACTCTTTGGTTAATGGTGAAGATGACTATGACAGCGATACTGATAGCGATGTTGCTAGAGAATTGATATTATACCGCTTTCTGAGCGAACGCAAAGAAAATGAGTTGAGTAAGCTTCTGAAAGTTAAAATTGATTTGTTACCAGTACCAGCTATGCTAAAACTGTTTCTCAACTACAACAAAGAAGATTGATGAGATTTTTGGCTGTTTATGAAATATTTTTTTGTTATATTTTAATTCGATTATTTAGTTCATATTTTTTTTTTGTATATAATATATATAATTCTCAACTATATTTTATCTAGTTTAGTTGTTTATTATAAGAACTTAAATATGATTTGTACATTATTTACTATTAACTACTATGTCTTAAACATTACATTTTTTGTTAGTATTCATTGTTTAATCAAAGCACAACAATTATTTTCTAAAAAATACAATTTCCCCCTCCAAACTATTTAAGATGTGGGATAGTAAAAAAGAAATAACACATATATGTATTATATTGTGTTTTGTTAAGATTTTTTTGTTAAATAATTTATGTAAATTTATTTACCTTTATAATAACCAGGATAATATTATAATTCATTTACAATGATGTATATTTAATAATATTGTCAGAAGTGTAAATGTTACAATGATTATTCTTATAAATTATAATTATATGTGCTAAATGTTGTAAACATCAATAAAGGAAAGTTTTAATAATGATTTTCAGGAAATTTCATTGAACTTTAGTTAATAAGATTTTATTTCTCAATCATAGTTTATGGCGGCCATTATTGTACTCTTGATGTAGTAGACCTTTATTTTGAAATGCATAATATTAATTTTTTAAAAATGAAATAAATTAATCACAGTTCTCAGTAAGGCTAAAATAAAACATTTATTACTTTTAAATTATAAGTATTTAGGACTGGGTAGATTTTCTTATTTCCATGCATTAAGTTAATACAGTAAACTAGTAAAGCAACACTGATAGAGAATAAACAGTATGTGCCTGACAAATAACGTTGCAGTGCGTTATTCATGTCTTATAATATTTTTCCAACAAAAGGTTTTTAATTAAACTAGTAGCTATATTTAAAAATGTATAATTTAGGTACTGTTTGAATATAATGATAGTAAGACAAAAAAACAAAATATATTATCGCATTTGTAAAAAAAAAAAAAAACACATTAATACTTAGGAACAACATGGCGACCTGTGAACTGTTTAACTTTGCAGTCAATGTTCTTTGATTTACTGATAGTGTGAGATAGATCATCGGGATAAAGTTGTGCCAAATCATTTATCGGCACAAAAGCGCACAACTCATGACTGTAATGTGTGAAAAACTTGCCAATGTTCTTGAAACTATAATCGTACGGTTTTAGTTGTCGCTGCAATTTTTCTGTAACAAAATTGTTGTGATGATTCAGAAACTATACTATAAATATGACTTATCGTTTATACTTAATAGCAATATAGCATCAAGTTAATACAAAAAATATAATTATTTGTTAAACGAAAGCATTAAAAGGTTGTGTAATTATTATATGAATTTCATTTGGTTCATAACAATATTATTTAAAGTAAGTTCATAAATCAAATAATACAAAAAATGCATTGTATATCACATTAAAAAATCATAAGTCATAATTATCAACAGCCAAACACGTATAATTAAATGTATAAATAATTTAAAAACTATTTTTTAGATTGTATTAGTAATACACTAAAACCTACTATACCTTACGTTTAATAGAAAATTACATCACACAAGGCAATAATAATTTACAATTATTCAAAAGTTTCTTTCTAAATAGTGAAAAGTATTCATTATCATCAGAAGTGCATAATATGGTTTAACTAGGTAAGGTTAAATCATAGACCTTATAATGTTTATGGCTGTAATTTGAAGTCCAACTCATTATTATGCACCAGTTCACAACAATATTAATCTCCCTTCTTGTTACTCCCGTAATATATCCTTTTTTTTTTTTTATTCTCCTCATCCTCAAGTTTATAGTACCTTCGTGCAATTATTAGTCATAATAGCCTATTACACATTCCTTTCTGTCCTACCAATTTATTATCTAGCTAATAAACCTCTTACTCACATCATAAAAATTAATGGGAGCACCAATAAAATCTAATATGAGAATATGGTATCAATAGCTTTTACCGAGTAGGTACCTAATAATAAACCCAAAATCATTTATATGTGCTACATGAAATATGTCCCAAAAGTCTGTATCTCCCTTGTATCTCTGTAGCAAATCAATATATTTGAATATGGCTTTTTGTACTGCAATAAGTATGGGAATTCTAATTGAATAGCAAAGGATTAAAATTTTTTCTTATGCAACTGACTTTCTTAACATTGATTTATATCTAACAAATTAACTACTGTCTTGATCATATTTTTTAAAACGTTTTTTTTTTTAAAGAAAACATTGATTTTCAAAAGGAATCGAACAAGTTCAAGGAAAATTTTGGTTTTGTACAAATAATGGTTATGTTAGCAAAACACGAATGACATACTTTAATCAATATTATGGATTTTTTTTTATAACAACCTACTTTGTACCTATTTAGTATTTTGTGTTGCATTAGAAAAATTATTGATATATTCTCAGTAAATGATTATGGTAAAATGTTACTCCCGAAATGAGTATCCAGAAACCATCTTACATGTTATATCAACAGATTAATTTTCAATTTTTGAAAAACAGGTAAACTTGCATTATCCACTAGTTATAATGTTGCAATTAATACAAATTTTGCAAAGTTTCACTGATTATTAGATACTTACAGATTCTCTTAAAAAATCTATGTTCCAATCGATCATGTGATTTGTATTTGCCAACATAACTAGGTATTATTATAATGAAGTCAACAACTTAATTTGTTTTAACTTGATCTATTTTCACTAAATTTTAATAATTTCTATTTTAAAAATATGATCAAAATAATGGCTATCCTGAATATCTCTTACTTAAAAAACTTATTTTGAAATTATTTAATAATGTAATGTGAAAAACTTTTTTTAGAAAACTTTACACTTTAATTTTAGATTCTGAGCGGAGCGATGAATGTATTGGTTTTACAATGATGTATGTTTTTATATTTTTTATTTTATATTTTATATTTTTTTGTGTCTGTCATCACGTTTTAGGACAGTAAAAGTGCTTGGAATTTCTTCAACAATAGCTTTTCTGATAGGAAAGTGAATCTAGTTGGTACTTTGGGGGGTCAAAAGTAAAAATTTCCCAGTAGTTTTCACAAGCGCCGCGAAAAACAACATAAAAATTAAGGAAAAACGGGAATTTTTACGTAAAAATCGATTTTGGTTTTTGGTGTAACTCTAAAAGAAATGAACGTACATACATGAAATTTTCGGTGGTTGTTTATATTTGCATTTACTATACACGATAACATTTTCAAAATATTTTGATTTATTTTGAACTGTTTATGGACATTTTCATTTTCCATTTTTTTTAGTTTTTTTTCTAAAAATATCAATAAAATTTTATTTGTTGGTTGCGAAAGCTTGAAAATTTAATAGAAGGCTCCTAATGTATTGTTTCAAAGGCAGATGAAAAATAGTAAAATTCCTTAGTCACAGTTTTTTTTTATAAGCATTTAAAGTTCAAAAATTGACAAAATATGGAAAAATCACGAAAATTAGCAAATTATTTTGAGTTAAGAATTCGTAAAAATTTTTCTTTTTAAATCTAAGATTTGAAAATGTAATACAAGATTCCTTATAAGATTATCTACCTTTATCAAAAAAAAAATGTCTATAAGAAAGTCAAATTAAATTTTTATGAGCGTTTGAAATTCAAATTTTTACAACATTGAATATTCACTCGATTTCTCATGTAGCGATTTCCTTATTTTGTTGTAATTCAAAAACGAATAACTTTAGATACATGAAAATTTCACTGAATATTTATATTAGCATTTCCTATACACCATACAATTTTGAAAATATTTTGACTCTTTTTGAGCTGTTTATGGACATTTACAACTTTCAATTTTTTTTAGTTTTTTTTTCTATAAATATCAATAAAATTTTATCTGTTGGGCCAAAAAGTGTAAAAATTTAATACAAGGTTCCTGATATATTGTTACAATAGCAGTTGAAAAATATTAAAAATACATAGGCACAATTTATTAAATATTAAAAATACATAGGCACAATTTATTAAATATTAAAAATACATAGGCACAGTTTTTATAAAATGTTCAGTTTTTATAGCTAAGGATTGCAAATTTAAAACAAAGGTTCTCATAAATAGTTCATACTGTAACCAAAAAATCTAAAAAATATATGAACACACTTATTTTTTACAGACATTTTAAATTCAAATTTGGACGAAATTACATATTAAAAAACCTAGAATAACTATTTTAGTTATTTTGTTGTGATTGAATAATATTATTCGTGGGTACTTGAAACTTCTAAAGTGTACTATTATATATCTATGATAGTATCACGGTTTTTGTTGATGTATAACGCGTTATAAGTATCTAATGGATATTGTGATATGATTAATTTGGAATTTATTATAGGTACCTACCTATTATAGGTCAATTTTTTGTTTAATACCATAGATATGTATATAATATGTCTTATACATAGACTGACATACCGTCACCGCTCAGAATCGTTTTTCTTATACAATGATATGAATGATATGATATCATTGAATTCAAATTTAATACCATCCATTATACAGTGACCTACTTGTAACCTACTTTACAGCAGAGCGACACCCACTTGCCCACCTTTTTTTATTTGTATGGGTATGTTTATAGTTAATATTAATATGAGTGATTAAGACTTAAAATACAAAAAAAAATTGTTTTTGTAATTTGAAAAATATAATATGCTCAGATTTTAATCAAAAAAAGTTTGTCCACCCCTGATATACATATATTTATAGATAAATTATATATTTTATAGTGTTAGTTATATGTATTGTGTAATTATACTTAAATAATATTAAATTATTTAAAATTTTTAAAATATAAATGTTTTTTTATTATCGATATGGGTCTACAATTAAATATTGGCCTTTGGGTCCCTCTTCTTTTTTTTTGTCCTTCTAGGACATAATCTGAGTAATCCAACTGATTTAATAAATAAAATCATTATGATTAATGATTAATTTTGAAATAATTAAATTTCTGGTGGAAGAACACACTTTGTCTTATATGATATCTTTTTGTTAATTAACACTTTTGGAAAATATTTTCATGCAAAAGCAATCGATTAAAAAAAATAGCCATAAGAAAAGGCGTTTAAATGCAAGAATACAATTTCTTTGAAAAAAAAAAATCATTTCAGCCAATAGTCAAAATTAATTCCGACATACCATATCTGCCTTCCCGTATAGCTTTGATAACAGGGTTTTGATATTTGGCTGTACTGAAATAATGATCAGGTCTGATGAGCACATGGTAAACAGTTGGATTTGGCAACGGGTTGTTACTAGGCACTCTTGTCCAGCCCACAACAACACCACGTTTAGTCACTATGCTCGAACAAGAGCCACTACCCATTGTAATGGTATCAATCATCATGCCAATTGAATATTTTGGATCATGAATCTCACCACGTTTTTTAGGTACTAGTGGGAAAATTTCTTCCCACTGATCATTAAAAGAAGTTTTATGTAAAATATTTCAGTTATCAAATACAATAAGTTTTATCACTTACATCTGTGTACATAATGTTCTTCTCATCCACATGGTTTGGAGCCTGTAAACAGTTAATAAATAATAATAATGATATTGAGAAGTAAAAATTGTATATAATATATCTGATACTTATGTAAAATGTGAATGTAAGGTATTGCAGAATAGTAGAATACTCACATAGGGATTAGACGGATTTCTGAGTAAGGGACATCGACAATAGTCATAATACTGATGGAATTTCTGACATTTAAATTCAACCTCAGAATCATCAGGTTTTAAGAGTTTTTGGAAATCCAACACATATTTATATGTAGCCATATTTTCAATAGTGAGCTGTTCCACAGTTTTACTAAATGTCCAAAACAACTAAAAAAAATATACATATAATATTACCCTACAGTAAATTTGATTTATCTTTTCGTAATAGATTATAAGTTTTTTTTTTAAATATTATTATATTATTTATATAATCAGTAATTTTTGGTACTTCAGTAGGCATAAAATAGGTGGACAGTAGGAAACAGATTTTATGTATACTACTAAAAAAATACAACTCACTCAATTGGATGATTTAATTTTAAGCCATGTGTATATTTTGGATTAAAACAAAATCAAATCCAAGGTTAAGTAAATACATTTTCAAAAATGTCTGAAATATATTATGCTATTTAAAATAAATTTTGATCGACAATTAAAAATTTGGGGGTACTAAAATTGTAGATTATTAGTGATAAAGTTGAAAAATAATTAATTGCGGTGCACTGACTAAAAATTAGAATTTAGATAATTATTTGTACAAGTATAAGTATTTGTAAAATAAACTTTTTATAGGGCATGAGAATAATCTCAGATTAAAAAAAAAAATTCATAATTTAGTCAATTTGAGTTAGTTTTTGTAAATGCAAAAAAAAGTAAATATTATTTTTTAAATATAGTGGGGGAAGAGGTTATACCTTTCTATCCTTCATAATATAGTGTAAACAATAAATTTATAAAATTTATAAATCTATACATTTAAACACTATCTAGCAGTTCTTGAAGTGTAGACATTTGGTAAGTTTGTTAAATTAGTTAAAATAGGTACATCAAGTTACTAGGTACTAATTAGTAATTACCTTAATAATATTATTGTGTATAATTTTAAGTGTACCTATAAACTATAATCTATATAATATAAATACTTTGATAACTAATAAAAAATTGTCTATGGGGCAACTTATCAGATTTTGACTGTGAAAAACTGTCAAATTTATCATTTAATAATATTATATTATCATAGTTTGTCATAATTTTTTACATTGTTATAAAATAATATTGACATGATTTCATTAGTATTCGGAAAAAAAAATTAAAAAATGATTAAAATAGACATAATTTATTCATAATCAGTTTTACGGAGTGGAGCAAGTGATCAGCTTGCCGGAAATACTATAATAGTAACAATTAATGTCCTTGCAGAAATAATATTTTAACACCAGGTTTGAACACTTCAATAGTAGTAATTTTGTGAATATTGAATAAACATTTAAAGTTAGTAAATAGTTATCTAAAAAATACACAGTTATAAATGTATTTGTGTATATTGCATAGGCATGTGTTAAAAAGCTTGTTCAAGAGCTGTGCCCAAGGGGAAGGCATTGTCCCCATAGGGACACCTCTAATAAGACATGACCAGTAATGATCATAGAAGTTCACAGTAGGTATTGTTCTTATACATTAATTTGTAAAACCCAATTCTTTATGTTGTTTAAAACTATTAAATTTTTAGACAGTTATAAGTAGTAAATACAGAGAATAGTGCAACTACAATTGGATGATAAATTGATGCAGTATATTCTATTTAAGGGGGATCGGTGGCGGATAGTTTTTAAGGAGTTTGAAATTGTCAATTTTCATATTGCATGCATGCGTGTATTGTAAATGTGTGCATAGCAAGTGATCATTAGTGTTAAAGAAAGAGCGGAGCGCTCCCACACATGCATGTACAAGTCAACGCCTCGGCGTTGCATTTACAGCAAACAATTTATGCACAATTGTATGTAGTTTTGTTTCATCCTACCGATTGACCTATTAATACAATAATATTTCAAAAAACTATTCTGAATTTGTTATAAGGTCTACTTGAGAACGGTCAGTCCACATTTTAAGATATCTGATTTAAATCCAAATAATCACTGTTTGAAAATTCTGAAATTTCAAAATATTCAAACTATAATTAGTTTAGAGGGGGGGGGGGGAAAGTGGACTTACCAATATAATTTCTCACTTAGAAATAATAACAAAACCAAATCAGTTTTAAAGACTATTATCACATTACTAGGTCGATCAGTATGATTGGTATATTTTGGCTAAAATAACTGTCAGCCACCTTTCCCCTTAAGTTAAGAACCTTATTCTGCAGTGACCAGTTTTCGTTGGTTAGTCAAACAACACCCATTTATCAGCCCTGTCAAGTTAGTCAACTATCTGTATACCTGCCATGTAGTAATGCCACGTCCCTACGCACAAGTCGGCAGCCGAGTATGGTTCTTAACATTACTCATTCAGGAAATTGAGTATTAAATTACAAAAATAACATACAAATAAATTAACATGTCTAACTAATAACTTATATAGAATTATAATAATATCCATCCATAATTTGACACTTCCTACAAAGAAGGACATAAATCAATTTTTTAATTTTTTTGTTTTATTTGATTATTTGATAGAGGTTTTTTTCTTAATCCTTTACGAAAAGACATTATTATTAAAAATCTCCCGATGGGCTGGTCAGTTAGGTTGTATAAGTAACTTATTACAATTTTTATATTAAAATCATAGTTTTTAAGTTTTCGGTCTATTTAAGATCTATTAAATCTATATCTATATTATGTGTTACTAATATCCGAATTTCAATACTATTCGGATAATCCGGATATCCAAATCCAAATAATAAACTGATAAAATCCGAATTATTCGAATAATCCGGATATTTTAAACTTGTTGCTTAATTATAAAAACTAAAATATTTGTCATTTAATTTATAGGTATTAGACTGTTTTATTTAAGACGGTAAAACTAAAATTTAAAAATAATAGTTTGACTCAATAATGTTAGTAAAGTTATATAATTTTATCATAATTTGTAATTATTTATTGATGAGAATATTAAATTACCTCAAACATACTCGGCTTTAATACGTTTTTGCAATGTAAGTTTTATCTTAATGTGGATATTAGTGTTAGATTATATTTTGATTAGATAAAATTATTTAAACCGTCGATTTTATGATTTTTCTAGTTGTAATGACATTTAATGTTAATTTTCGTTCTGTCCGTATTTTATTCATCAACTATCAACATCATATTAAGACAATATTAATATCAATATTTACTTAATTATTTTATGTAATATCATTATCGTTTGAACAATAACTATGAATCGTAGTAACGTTTGGAAATATTTTAATGGCGGTGAAACAAATGAAACAGCGACATGTAAAATATGTAGTCAAATTTTGAAAAATATGGGGTCTACTTCTTCTTTGTGGTATCACTACAAATCGTGGCATAATACTAATAATGGAATCGATGCAGTACAATTAACTGAGGAGAGGTAAGCCATCATTAATTATTTTATGTTAAAAATAGGTAATAAAACTATTATATAATATTCTTTTTTATATTTCTAAATTTTAAACTTAAGTAGAGAAACAGAACAGATATCAACATCTTCAGATATGTCATCTTCGACATCAATACCAACAGTAGTATTACAACCACCCCAAAAACGTTTAAAGACATCTCATGTTTCAACTACAATCCAATGTAGACCTGTAGATAAAAGTCGGGCCCAACTGATTACTCTGAGTATTTGTCAAATGATTACAATGGATATGCTACCATTTAGTACAGTTGAATACAAAGGATTTCGAAAATTGATGTCAGTTATTGAACCAGACTATAAAGTACCATGTAGAAATACAATCATCGTTCGTATTGAAAAATGATGGAACTAAAGCGTAATCTAGAAAATATAAAAGATGTAGCATTAACTACGGATGGCTGATTTGGCTGTAGATTCTTATATAATATTCACATGTCACTACTTTAATGAAAATTGGGAACTATGTACTCAAGTATTAGGGTTTGAAGAAATGCGAGAAAGTCATAGGGCAGATAATATACAAGACAGTTTAATTAATATTATTGGAACATGGAATTTAACTGGTAAAGTCATAGGGATAAGTCACGATAATGCTGCAAATATAACTAATGCTGCACGAAACTCACAAGAACGTGATATTTATTCAAGTCCGTGTGCCGCCCATACATTGCAATTATCTATTAATAAAGGTCTTGAGAATAGAATGTGTAGTAATTTATTAAAATTAGCCTCGGACAAAGTTGCCGCTTTTAGGCACTCTCCAAAACGAACAAATGCTTTAGAAAACAAAATCAGCGAATTAGGACAAAAAAATTGTGCTTTATACAGAGATGTCCAACTAAATGGAATTCTAGTATGGATATGTTAATGCTAGAACTTCGGCCAGCTATTGTATCGATAATGTTAGATAGTACATTATTCAACACCAAAACAGCAAAAAAATTAGAAATGCTCGAAGAAGACTGGGAGCATTGAAAAATATTGGTGAGACTTTTAAAACCACTGCAATTAGCTACGACAGTTTTATGTTATAAACGACAAGCTACAATATCAATGGTAATTATTTTGCAATTATTTTGTATATATTTTTTAATATATGATGATGATAAAATGCTTTATTAAATATTATAATTTAATAGGTAATAGTAAATTTATTTTTAATTTATAAACATAATTAAATTATTAAACTTTTTAGAATGATTATATTTTAATAATTTTAAAAAAGTTATTAAGCTTTAAAAAATTCAACTATACAAGCTCAAAATTATATATATTTTTCTCTAAATTTTCTCTAAAAAAAACCATTTTATTATAAAACCAATAACTTTTGTGTATCGCTCAGAATTTAAAATATTAATAGAAAAACACATTTTTTATATACGACCAATTTTTAGCCTTATAGAAAAGCATTTGTAACTCGAAGATACAGACTCAAGACTAGCAATGGTGTTTAAAGAAACAGTGTGTAATGAACTACGTCAGAGGTTTAATATTGACTTTGAAGAAGAAAATGGAACTGCAGCAGACATTTATTCGGAATATAGGGAAGTAAACATAGCACGAATTGCAAGTCTACAAGACCCAAGGTACAAGAATTTACAATTTGAATCATCAGATCGTATACGAAAAATTATTAAACAAAAAATTGGTTCAAAGATACAGTTAATTAGATATATATCTGAAAATGATAACACCTCAAATACTAAAAAAAGTACAGTATTAGATGAATTATTGGGGATAGTTCCACTAAATTCTGAGGATGAATTTTCAAGGTACTTGGCTGAACCACAAATTAATCATAATGATGATCCGTGTTTGTGGTGGAAATCGCGTGAACTTACATTTCCTTTTTTATCTGTTCTCGCAAAAAATATTCTTTGTATACCGGCTTCTTCAAAACGTGTTTTTTCTACTGCTGGATCAATTCTATCCCCAAAGAAAAATAGAATGGCTCCCTTTCATTTATCAGCCCTGGTATTTTTAAATAAAAATATTTGATTCCAAACTAGACAAATATAAAAACAACTATTTTCATTATTATAGTGTACCCGTTTATACTTAAAATTACATTAAATGTGCCTGTAAGTTAAATTTATTTATTAAAAAAAAATATTATTATATTGTGTAGATATTATGTGTATATCGTATTACTTATTTATTATGTATTAATTATTTTCATAGTTGATTTTGCTATGATTATTATTTATAATAAATGTTAAAATTATTGTTATTATTTAAATATTTAATATTTGCTAAGACATAATCTATACTCTATAATATGAAATATAATATTATTAACTACTACCAACTGCATCAACTGTCAACATATTTTTAAATTTTATAATAATTAGATTAGATATGTGAAAATTAAAATTATTCGAATTATTCGGTTATTAAATTTTGTATTCGGATATCCGGATATCCAAAAATCAGGATTTTTAACATCACTAATCTATATATATAAAAATGAATGTGTGTGTGTCCTATATACATTTATAAACAGTTGGACCGGTGTTGATAAAATTTGGGCAGAAGATAGTCTAATTTAAAAAGGAAGAGGACCAACCCCAGGAGGTGCTCAAACAGGGATTTTGAGATTTTCGATGGAAATTTTTGTTTATAAATCATTGCCATGGGTTTAAAATAAAATACATTATTCATATTGTAGAATTGGCATTCTGAATGGGCAACAAAGTGCACGGGATCAGCAGTGATATCTAAAAATTAATGTTTGTCTGTCTGTCTATGTCCTTTATGCATTCCTAAACCATTCATCGGATTGCGATAAAATTTGGTACAGAGATAGATTAGACCTTTGAGAAAAGGATACTTAAAAAAGGGGTAAATTAGAGGTCCAACCCGTGGAGGTGCTCAAACAGGGATTTTGAGATTGAGAATGGATATTTTTGTTTATAAATGGTTGCTATTGGATTTAATAATTATTATTATTGTAAATGCGATAAGATTGTTGGCGCAGTGGCACTTCTATGTATTTTAGTACAGAATGTCTCAAGAACGAACTACGGTTTCGGTGGACCAATTTTTTGCATTGTTTTTTACTTATTTTTTATTTTTCTTCTTTATCTACACATACGAATGTTCGTTTTTTTTATTTATCAGATTTTATTATAATTAGGATTTTGTATTAATTGATTGTATTAATCCGCTGTAGGTTGAATTAAGTAAAAACAACAAACTTGGTATAACTTTGATACTTCAAGAGTTAAATTATACACTAACATATAAACCACAAGGGGTCCGCGATCTACCTAAGGTAGATTGACTACCTGATAATATACTGCTGCGAATCTCACGGACAACGCCGGCTGGGATGGCTATACATTAAAACGTAATATCATTAACACTTAAAAAGGCTTCCACAGTGTGCTACACCCAAAGGAGTTGAAAGATCACAATTTTTTTTCATAATTTAGAATAACATAAATAATACAATAATAATCATACCTAAAACTATATTTTGTTGTTCTAAAAAACAGTATTTATATAAATATAAATGATAGCCAACCCTACCACTTGTTGTTTACATACCATGATATAATTCAATATAATATTATTTGTATTTTTAAGTGACTACTGAAAAGTAGCACGTTGAATGTTTGCAATCCTAATCAGTAATTTTGAATTCTTGAAGGTAAGTTAAGTCAAATTTTATATAATATATTATAAATTAATATAATAATTAATAATATTAATTATAATATAATATATTATAGCTAATATTATAATATATTATAAGGTTAATATAAATTATAATTTGTAAACAATTATTATTAAAATTGGTTGAATGGTTTAAAATATAATAGAAAAGATTAGTCTAAAAGGTCTATCACCTATGCCCTATTAGCTATTTGTATTAAATAGTGCTGTTTTCACAAATACATTTTCATGAATAATGTTTTCAAATCTACTTTTTCTTAATTCATAATTTCATATTGTTATGTTTCTGTAAGACTACATATTTTATGTTTTACTATTCTATTTGAATAAAAATGTTGATAAAAACCAGTTGTTGAAAATCAATATGTTGACAATTTATAATATGAAGAAAATATAACACATAGGGTGGACATCAAAGTAACAACTTTTACATTTGGATTACTTTATTTCAATTCAACATATTTAATGGTACTTAATTATCATATCTAAATTATTAGAAATAACTATATTGAAAACTATTATAGGTGTCTGTTGAACATTGTTTTTCTGGATTAAAATGTATATATTCAGTTTTAGGTATGATACTGACAAGTGATATGCTAGAAAAAATTATGACTGTAAGATTCAATAATATATTTGATACAAACAATATTAAATATTAATTGTATTTTAATGCATTGCTTTTTAAAATTTTAATGTATCATTAAATTATGTATGTGTTGTTAAAACTTAAACCTTAAAGAAATCTTATATGTACATGTTGTTATTATTTATATTTTGAATATTCAACTGATAAAATGTGTGGTATTTTAAACATAAGTACTGTAATAGTGTATTAAAAGTTCCCGGGCCACTATGAAAGAGCTAGTCCACCCCTGACTCAACTCTGACAAAAAGGTTATAAATCTAATAAAATATAGAGTTCTAATATTTTGTTTACTAGTGAACAAAGACGTACCTTAAGTTAAGCCTATCTTTAAATATAAATTACCCTCAAAAACAGTCGCAATTTGAGATACATTTTGATCAAGATGGAATATTTTCTATGAAAAAAGAACTTAACTTGAAATAAATTACCATCAAAACAATATATTTTCCACAGAAAGACTCAACTTGAGTTAATAGTTTAATATTTGTAGTTTCTAAAATAATAGGAAGTAACTCAAGGACCTGGATCAACAAAAGAAGATAATTAGGAAAAAACGAAAAATTGTTAGCTTGCTCTAAAAACGTAAATCAACTAAAATTTTTTTCCATAATCAGAATAAGAATTAATTAGTTATACTGAGAGTTGTTAAAATTGAGTTACGTCCTTCTTCGTAGGGGGTGTCAATTATTATATAAATAAATTATAAATTATTCTATGCATAACAATAATAACAGAAATTATGGATTTTTTTAGTTATAGATAAAATACATAAAGGGTGTAAAAATTCAAATTGTACTAAAGCAATTTGTTTATACAATGAGAATTTACATAATATTGATAATAAAAGCATTTAACTAAATGATAAAATAGAATTTTTGTTATTATGAGTTAGGTACAAGTAACTATAAGTATTCAATTGATACGAGTTACAATATACTTTTATAAATAATGAGTACTTACGTCAAGTATAGAATTTCCATTATATTGTTCTGGCAATTTTCTCGAGACTGGACAAACTGTAGCCTTCCGCATGACACCACCACCAGCGATATCTACCAAGTAACATGTAGGGTTCCCACGTTTGTTTCCCGGCCATGAAGATGACCAAGATACAAAATTGTGTACAGATGTTGCAGTTAAACGAACTTTTACTCCTAATCGTCTAGCAACCGATTCAAATATTACACACAGCAAAAATACAGAACCTTTTCTCCGATCAATGACCTAGGTTAAATTAATTGTATCATTATTGACTATGGATAATAAAATAATGGAGATGAAGACATACCTGCTGCAACAAAAAGCAATTTAAGTCATGGTTACAATAACAAACCAGTTGATCTTCGGAAAATATTATTTGTCTTATGTTGTCAAGTATAAACATTGTGCTAGTTTCATCAAATAAATCATGATCAAGATTTAATTTTCCTCGTTCAACCACTTGTTTCAAACAGTTTTCATGCTCAAACAGAGGATGGACTGGGTTTGTTGAACGAATGCGATTACACACATCAATAGCTATGTTATTTAAACTTTTGTCTGTGGAAAACATTAGTAACACAATTATCGCCATTCATTACAAATGTATCAAAATTACATGGTTTTTTAGATTCTGAGTATAGTTTTTTTTTAGTGTAGACTTACTTATATCGCGATATGGTATGTTAATCGTAGGACACCACCAACGTCCAAGTAAGTAAAATCCTCGTTCAACAATTTGTTCTGCCGGTGGTAAACTTAAGAAATGACTTAACTTGTAACCAAAATACACTTGGCACGAATAAATAAGAAATTGATGTGCCATATACAATAGATCATAATTTTCATTACAGCTAAATGATAAAAATAAATATTGATAAGTCAAACATTATTTTACTTTACTCTAAACCACAAAAATACCATTCGTTACTCTGTAGTTGCTTATAATAAGCTGCAATTGCTGATAGAATATAATATCTATGGCCTTCATTTTTTGAGTTCAGATATTGACTAAACGGATATAAATGATATGGTACATTTTTAAACTTCATGTATTTGCACGGCATTTGTATAATTTCAGCAGGTACAGCTTTATCCAAACTCATACGCAGCATGATCTCATCTTTCCATGTATTTTGTCCGTCGATAACAACTTCATATTCCTCATTGTCCAACAAACCGTATCTAACACAAATAAAATATCCGTTATAAGCAAGTAAAAAAAAGTAAAACACACAAGTATAGGTACTTTTGTATGAATTTGGATTTCCAGAGGCATGAATTTCGTTCATGGAACAAGCAGTTGTTGAGCTTGGAGTGTGAAATGGCAAGGTTGAAGACGTCAATCAATTTTAACGAATCGCAGCAACAAATGTATTCAATCAATTCGGTCGGTAAATCCAAGATTGTGGTTGAAGCGGTAGTCGCGGAGCTGGTGGTCATACTAGCATCAGCATAGTAGGTGGACGAGCAGGCAGGGTCGTCGTCGGGTTCACGTTGTCGTTTCAGAGGGTTGGTCGTCATCGTACCGGATTTTGATTTTCAAATGTCCATTCAGGCGGCTCACGCAAGTTCGCAACTGTAACAACGATCGTCGTCTGAGGCGATCGAAAGAGCGGGTATCGAGACTCTGCCCTATTGTTCGGCGCCGATCGCGTTCGTCCGTGATACACGCTCTGCAGACCAACAATCGGAACACCAGACCTCTATTACGGTAAACTTGAACCGAGCAGTACCGTAGTCAATGATTTGATGAACCACCAATGACTGAACGGTGGTCGTCCCGGACCGCTGTACGATAATGTATTGATATTTCGTTGGTGCGTCGTCGCTAACGTTAGTCCTCAGTCACGAACGACGCGCACTCACGGTTCACAAGCGGAAACAACAACAACAATAGTAATAATAACAACTATTTACTAACATGTAAGTAAACGTCGGGCGATAACACGCAATAGATGAAAGATCAAAGAACCGTCAAACGACGAACACGAATTAAGATCAAACGTAGCCTGTTGCAAGTCACAATTATCAGCTTTACTGGATATTAACCTGCGATCGAAATTAATCAACACTGTAGAGTACTTAATTTAATATAATATTTCAATAAAAGCAAAAACATGATAAAGTCGTGAGCGAATATACTCAAATATACTTAAAACGTACAGAGATTAAATTCCACGGATGTATATAGTTCATTATAAATTATAATATTAGTAATAACATAGAACAAAAACAAATAGATATTGTAGTTTTATTTTTCTGTAAGCTGTAACAGTCTGTTGCCTGTTTATCCGGTTGTAAATATTTTATAATCTATGTTGTTGACTTCCTTGAAAGAAATTTGATAAAATAAAAAATGTAAATCAGTGATAACATCGAGCGTACACTGTAAGAATATTTTCTTTCTCTCTCTTTTCTACTGTAGTATTGAAAGTATCGTATTGTTTATTTTTTAATTTCCCAATATAGTACCACAGCTATAATAGCATATTGGCACGCCTACAAAATGTCAACAAATATTCCGGATAAAAAAATTATGACATCAATAATGGTCCACGATAATGGGTTTAATTGCTTAAAGATTAATACAGGGTCAATCGCCAATGTTGATTTAAAATTTAAACCTTAAACTTTAAAGTGCGTAATGTATATTAATACAATAATACATTAGCGTTTTATGCTATTGAAAATTGTTCGAGAAGATAGATATTTGAAGCATACCTAGATTAAACATGCATAGATTAAACATACATAGATAGCCAACGGCTATGTAGAATTTGGTGACAATAGATGGTGCTGCTAAATGTTTTCTACATAATATCATAGCATTGTACACGAGAATCTGTACCCGATTCAACCCATGTATATTGTCACCAAGAACATGAATTATTTAAAAATGTTCTTATCATAGCTAACATTAGCGATTTTAATAGAAGATTCCCCACAAGTTTTTCTACTTTTAACAAAAAAAAAGTTTACCAGAAAGTTACGTTATTTATTATAGCCATGATATATTTTCGATTTTTGTTAATAACTGTAGTACTTATAAGCTATTAAAACACTATCATTTATAGTTGTCCACTAGTCCGTAGAATTTGGAAATTTGGAAGTAAAGATTCAGTGGTCTGTGAGGTCTAAACGGTTGACTACCCCTCACCTCAGGGGGTGGCTATAGTTCTATTCACGTGAAGTCAGCAAAACTTATTACTCTATGCCTCACCTAGACTTTATGCTAATGCTAAAGATAACATCTATTTTATATTTTATGTAGAACCATTATGACATTAATAATTACCTTCCTATTCTTAAAACATGAAGTTTAATAATTCAAAAACTACCCGTTCCAATTTGCATTTGTAGATGCATCAACATTTTCAAAAATACCATGTGTCTATGGTTAAAATGGGTGGTTCTCGTTTAAAATGTATGTTTGTATTTGTCACAGTTCATACTACTCAAATGGTATGATCAATATTTGTATCTGAAAATATGGCCTTTAAGTATACTTAAAAATTTAAAAATTAGAATTAGAATAATTAATGCATTAAGATATGAATGATGATCATAATCTTTTAAAGATGTTTGGTGAATTTATTGCCCAGCAGGATAGGGATTTATGGCTTGATGGATTTTTATAGAGAGACTAATGAGACTATAGCCAATTATATTTCTGGTACACAACATAATATATTTTAAAAATGTAACTTAAAAAAATTTTACTGGATAGGAAGGGGGGCTAATCAAAATACCCGGGGGGCTTTATCCCACTTAGACCCCCTCCACCTTTCTACGCCTATGTCCAGCAGTAGAAACATAGGTACAATTAATTTCTACTACATGACTATGAATTAATGTACCTACATCGATTTTATGTTATTGATACCATCTGATCATAACCAATACAATCACGCTATTATAAATTGTGTTTAAGGGGCCTGCACGCGACCTGTTTTTTTGCTCAAAAACATGCCTTACAGGAAAAACTCTCACGCCTCGTAGATTGGTCCGATTTCCGTAATTTTTTTTTTGTTAGATAGAGGAAGACTTCTTACAGGGCGCATTGGACTTGGATTTTCAACATTATTTTTCTAAATCTTATGTTACAAGTTTGAATTTAATCAATTTTTTCAACTTTTTAGTTTTTGTATTATTTTTTGTTTTTAGCGACGTAATCAAAAATCGAAGTCCAATGCGCCCTGTAAAAAATATTCCTCTATCTAACAAAAAAAAAATTACGGAAATCAGACCAATCTACGAGGTGTGAGAGTTTTTCCTGTAAACTGTGTTTTGACCGATATAATACACCCTATCAACCCCCCCTAAATAGGTATTGGGTAGTAGATTAGTGGAAAAGTCTTATAATTGAGGTGGCAACTAAAATATAAAATTTAATTTTCAAATTTTATAGAATTGCGGAAAATTTGAAAAATCGCGAGCAGGCCCCTTAATACTTTCGTAAAATCCATTATTCACATTCAACTAAGGACTAATGTCCTAATATCATATACCTTTATGAGATTAATTATTAGGTTAATGATTATGCACTATATTGGCTATATTATTATTATACTTAAAACAGTATTGCCTAATACCTATAGGCTATAGACTATAGTACATAATATGGCTATTAATTATTATAAACTAAAATGCAATCGGTATAAGTTACCCCAATATTTTTTTGCCTTACAGTTCATAATATATTATGATACCTATATGAATTATGAACGCCAAAAAAATATAGATTTTCTTTATTCTTTTGTACAAAATAGAATGTGGTTTATGTTGAATATATTATATAATTTTTCAATCTTATAATATATTATTAAACTATTCTTTTATAATTTAAGTATCTATTCTGAAAAAAAAAATAGGTAGGTACTTATGTAATTAGTGACAACGTTACAGTTACGTAGGTATAACTGATAAGTTTAAAAAAACAAAATTAATTTTACAAGGTGAAAAAATGAATGAACTCTTTTCATTCTTTCGACTAATAATTTTTTATGAAACTTATCAAAACGATACAATATTGAACTTCTTAACAGGTAAACCGTAAACATCAAAAAAATTAGTTACGGGTAGCTGTCCACCCGGCTCTTTTGCTAGAAATGTACTATGGCTGCTTTTCAATTTTCAGGTACTAATAATTACTATGGGCTTATCAAATATTATGTTATAATTAAAATAGGTAGGTAATTACTAAACTCTAGACAACTAGTAAGTGGGTGACAGTGTGGAGGCAGAGTTGTGGTGAGTGATATTTTTACTACAGCAAATCAAAATATTTAAACTATAGGTACTATAAGTTATATTGTCAATTATATCATGACTATTTTTTTTATATATGTCTATATGACTATACTATACCAGTATACCATGACAAAATATATACTTTTATATATTATATATACTTCATCATGCTATTATTAATTAATAATTATCATAACAAGTAACATCTAATGTCTAATAAGTTTATTCAAAATGAATATATGACTACATTATTTTACCTTTTAAAATTATAGCTAATAAATTTATTGCAATACCTCCATAAAATAAAACCTAACTTTTTAGTTAGCCCTCCAATTTCTTTTTGAAATTCCGGGCAAGTGCTAATTTATTTACCTTTGTTCATATACTTAATTTTGCTAAAATTAAATTCATGTTTGAGCTACCATTCAGCTATAGGAGTTGAAAAATACGCTTTAAAGTATAAACACACTCCAAAACTCAAGGAATCAATTTTTATAACTTTTACCTCAATCGGTGGACTAATTAAAATTAACCTAACCTAACCTGACATAATACCATAGAATACTCTATGCATAATACAATCAGGGATTATATATATAAATATGGGTAATACGTATGATATAAAATATGTAGTCACTACTCACTAGTCTGTATAATGTATTATAGATATTTGAATAATAAATTAAGGACTACCTATTTTGGATCAGTGGCGGTTTTGATAGAACATCAAGGGCCTATTTTAAATTTTTGGGCCTCCTCCCACCATAATTAAAGCAGTACAAGCATTTATTGTAATTTCAATTAAAAAGAGGACATGCAAAAAAAATCCAAGAGGGGTGAGCCCCTTCGCCCCCCCTCCCCTAAATACCGCCATTGTTTTGTTTTATAGATCTAATCATTTTTCATGGTTAAATTAATTTTCAACGATATAGAAAATGTTGGGATCGGGGAAATGTTAACTCTGACAGTCTGACCGGTATAATAGCAGTAGTATATTATGGTTGGCTGTACATAGTTCCTGTAGCGTTGGTCGTTGATTTGTGATGTATATACTTATTTTTAATTATAATACATGTTATTTTTGAACTTTGTATACGTTAAACTGCAAAGTTCAGTTGTAGTCAATTTATACGGGTTGCAGCTAGCCAGTAGACACTACTATACAAAACTATATTACAAAACATAATCCTAATTTCTAATCTTTATTGTCCGTAATCAGTATTAGTCATCATTATTTATATTATTATTTGTATAATAATTTGAATAAATTC